AAAGCCGACTAGTCATCGCATAGCCTCAATCCGAAAGTAAACCTAGGTCTTGCCCTAAACCCAGCACACTGGTCTCTAACGTCTCAAGGCATGAATCGAGATCCTAAAGGCATGTCTCTTCGTCTATATCTAAACGCTCACTCGATTTGCTAAACATCCTAAAATGAGCAAACGAATAAGGCGATCCACAAAGAGAAAGGAATGCACAACAACTCACGGACCTCCCTCAATATCAACTCATATTCTTCCCTCTACATTCATACGAATAAAAACACGCTCTTAAAAACGCAAACTGATTTATAATAAAGCCGCAAAAGCGGCAGGGACTCAGAGCCGCACACAGCCAGTCTGAAAACTATAACGGCCACACTCGGCCATAGCAAACAGCCCACGAGGCTAATCTCAAGGCCGGCAAAGGTCCAATACACATAACCAGACCGTAAAGTTCTTGCTAGGAAACAAGTCATACGAACCTTAACTCCAAAACGAACTACGAAAGGCTTGATCCCTTCAATAGGGTACGTAGGCAGCCTTCACAAGGCGCAGCACTAATCTTAAACGCTTTCACTTCATGGAGAGTGGAAAGATCACTTTCAATGGACCTTTCCAACCATTAACTCCGCCTAACTTAACTAAAACTGGCTAACCACTCGCAAGAACCTTACACTAGAGGCTCAAGATTCAAGCGAGCTGGGGGGGCTAACTATTGGTGTCAAAGTCGGTCACGACGGAATAAATGGCTAAAAGTTTCCGTAAAAAAAATATATATATATATATATATATATGTTTTATTAAACTCGAGAAGTCGTTTTATAAAACTTGAAAAATCGTTTTATAAAACTCGATAAGTCGTTTTATAAAACTCGATAAGTCGTTTTATAAAACTCGATAAGTCGTTTTATAAAACTCGAGAAGTCATTTAATAAAACTCGATAAGTCGTTTTATAAAAATTTAAAGGAAATCCGCGGAAAACTTGGGAGTCATTATCTCGGAAAAACAAAACAAACATCGATTACACGATCATCCGAGTTAAGCACAAAACCGCGAAAAACCGCATCCGCCGTAAACCGCGAGTTAGTCCCATCACAACTAGCTCGCCGTACGGCGAGCTAGTCCCATCATGAGTAGCTCGCCGTCGGCGAGCTAAACGCTTCCCGGGTAGCTCCCCGTACGGCGAGCTGAACCGGTTCGGTTTGGCTCGTTGTACGTCAAGCCGATCATCCGGAGCCTCGATCTCCTACGTCCTTGATTCAAAGCGTACGTTCTTCGACACGATCATATTCCAAACCACGGTCGAAATGTCTTCCGTTTCGTCTCGATCCGTCCTATTGTTAGATTTTTACGATAAAAACCGTAAAACTTTGTTTTCTCGAAAAGAACTCGATGAAATCGTATAAAACGGCAACGGTTAAACGAAACACCGAACATTGCCTAAACTATATGATTTATTCGAGATTTTTCGTAAAAATCGTAAAAAACGCGTTTTTAATATAAAAAACTTCGAGTGAATCGTAAAAACGGCAACGATTAACCGAAAAACGAATGTAGCTAATTTTACGATTAACTCGAGGAACTAATTAAAAATGGCATCGAATCAGGAAACGGTCTCGTATAAAGTCATAGAACGGATTTATTGCAAAACGGCTCAGAAGATTCTAAAACGTGATAAAAGCCCATCTCGTGATTTTAACGAAATCTAACCCGAAGATACGATAAAGTTTTGACGATTTACTCGTAGAAGGAGGATAAATGTCAAGTTTGAAGGTAAATGTCAAGTTTGAAGATAAATAGAAGATTTCCGCGGAAAAAAAGAAAGATAAACATAAAAGGAAGATTCTCGATAAACTCGAATCTAAGTGAAATGGAAGGACCAAACCGCCAAGGAAGGGAGTATATAAGCAAGAGGCATAGGGCGAAGCAAAGAACGAAGGGGAGAGCTCTCATCTGAGAATCTAGACTTAGAATTTTCCGCACTTAGAAACTTAGGCTTTTTTCTCGACAAGTTCGGTTTCTATGACTGGCGCTCAATTACTAGATCGAACTCGCCCAGGCAATTCGATCTCTTTTGTCCAGATCTACCAACTGAACTACGTTCAACTTGATCCCCGAAAGGGGTACGTAGGCAGCCTTTCATAAGATTCAGTCCGAAATCGATCAAACTCTCTTTTTCTTGTCTTTTTCGTCTTTTGTTATCGAGCTGCGACTCAACTAGGTTTAGGGTTTAATGTTGATAACTCGCTTACGGCCCCTGCGGCCAAAGCCTTTGTAATCTCTTGTAAAGATCGCAACGCTCTTACGTGAATTCAAAATAAGATCGACTTTCTTTATAAATTCGTTTTATCATGTTTTTCGTATTTTCCGCATTTATTTGGTTATTTGTTGATGGCTTCCGCAAAGATCCGGGCCCTCTGGAAAATTAGGGTTTTCCTAAGTTTCCTTATTTTACGGAAATCGACGGTGTGAATTTTGGTTCCCACATCTTAAAATAAATATATTTTAAAAGAAAAAATAAAAATATTATGTGTTAAGAGAATATAAAATAATTCCATTGTGAATATAAAAAAATAATATAAGGATAGGTTCTTACTTATATAAAATAGATATGCATATAAGTTATTGATTTATAATTTTAATGAGATCATATATATACATAATTTTTTAAAGTTATTATCTTGTTATTTTATAGATTTGTGTCAAATTTGTACCGGTTCAAGTTGAGATTGGTTAAATTTATTAGTTTGTATCAAGTATTAGTTTATAAAGGTTCTACTGTATATAGATTTAATATAGGTACTTGTGGACAAAATCTTTCTATGAGTAATTATTAGTGTATGTTTATTAATTCAAAAACCAGCATGATAAGTTATTATTACATTTTCAAAAGTTTAATTAAAACATCCAATTATTTGAATTTGACAAAAAAATTCATCAAAATATATATGTTTAATATTGAGTTGAAATTTAAAAACATTCACATATTAAATTATTTTACAAAATATCTTATATAAATTTTTTTAACTAAATAATATTTTATAATTTTAATCACGTAACTTTTGAATTTTTTTTAATTAAATAATATTATTTTCAGAAGTGAAAAATAATTTATATATAAAAATAAAATATATATATAAGAATTATCATGTTGTTATAATATTATCTCTTGATTACAACATAATATATATATATATATATAAGAATTATCTTTTGAAAATATGTTTTTATTTTTTCCAAATTTATTATATTAGTTTACAGTCAATTATCTAAGCTAACATATAAATCTAATATTATTTATAGAATTTTTTTTTTAATTTTATCATAACTTATATATATATATATATATATACTAATTTCATTAAAGGTAAAAATTACATTAACCGCTCTAACGTTTAGCGACAAATCACTTCACAAATAATAATATAGATTGTAATTTGAAATATTTAACTTGTGGTAGTTGTGTGTATGATACCATTCATTGGAAAATAACTTGTGATCAAAGAATTAAAGAAAAACGTATAATCACGAAATTGTAATCTCTTCTTTTCAATATTAAGATGAATATAATCTATAATAAAAAATGAAATATACACAATGAAAAATAAATCAATTTAGTTTAAATTCAGATACACATTTTAAAATATTCATTATTAGTGACATATTAGATATTTCTTTAAGATACCAATCCGCTCGTAGGGCGAACCAATCCTAGTTACAATAAATAGAGAGAAAATTAAGCAAACTATTATACGATAGAAGGGCTTACAGACCATGTGTTGGCCATTGGCTAGATGAATGTAGCCGTATTTTAAACCACTATCACTTACTATATAAAATGACTATGTAACAGAATATCACAAGAAATGAATGGAATGTTTTCGATCATCTTCTTCTCTCGTTTCCATTCTATTACAAACTGGAGTTTTATACCGATTCTCCTAAATTAACTTCGAATAATGTTAGATGGCAGAAGAAAATAAAATCCAGATTTCAGTTTAGTGTAACATGACATGCACTAAACCAAGTCAAGCATGCAAAATCCACTAGATTTATCTACAAAGGTATAAATTTACTCATTCAAGGTTATGCTACAGTCCTTAGTTCTACGAGGCATAAGCATATGCAAGATCCTCATATGTGATATGTGTAATGTATCAAACCTTGTAATTACTGAAAATAAATAATACTTTTATTGGTTTGATTACATGAAAGAACAATTCCCCTCTTGCAAAGACCCAACCAATTTGATAAACGTTATTAATCATTATAAATTATTTATGTGCTTCAGTGGAAAAACCTGTAGCTTCATACCATTTTTAAGTCAAATGCTTACAACATTTTGCTTCAAATTCAAAACAGCTCGAATAAAGTATCGGTTGGATTCAGTATAACGTCTACCCGATTTTCTTTGTGATAGCCGTTTCGCACCCGCGATGTGCCCGCCGCTGACAGTCTGTGTTGGTGTCAAGTTATTGGTTGGTGGTTAAGAACATGTTTATCTGGTTAAGGCCCTAGCTTGTACCGTTCTCTATATATAATTCGTTATTGTATATATAAGAAAACCATTTGTAAAAAATAAATAAAATGAATATAACTATGTAAAGTCAAAAATAGATAATCCATCTATTTAATCAGTCTGAGCGTGAAATGAATGTTATAGCTAGTTGGAACGGACAACGGTCAATGCTAGCATTGCCAAGACCTGTCCATGTATTATCAAGGGCCGAGTCTATGGATCTGGGTCCTAGAACTAGAAGATTTGCTTTCTACTTAATGGTTCTGTTCTTCCTTGAAAAGTTCAACGGTCAAATTTTTCCACTTGCTAAGACCAATCAGCTTGCAATTTTAGACCTAATTAATCAACTTCTGCTCATTCTTTTCACTAGTAAAACTTTGACCTACCACTTGCAAAAAATAGTATATATATGGTTTTAACTATTTTATAAAACCCTCAGAAAACTATAATCTCTCAAGCCAATCTTTATTTTGTTTTGCTTCACAAAGGATGGGTTTTACATGGGGAATGAGACTACGTGGAGCTAGCAAGAAGAAGGTAGCTCCGGTAATGAGTTGGTCGGAATCGACATCGGAGCCGGAGATAACGATTCCGCCGGAGTTTCAATGCCCAATCTCAATCGATCTCATGAAAGATCCGGTGATAATCTCCACAGGCATTACCTACGATCGCACAAGCATCGAAAAATGGATCGATTCAGGGAACAACACGTGTCCTGTCACGAACACGGTCTTGACCACATTCGATCAGATCCCCAACCACACGATACGCAAGATGATCCAAGGATGGTGCGTGGAGATTGGTTCGTCGTTGATTGAGCGGATCCCAACGCCACGTGTCCCTTTGATGCCGTGTGAGGTGTACGAGATCTGTAGAAAGTTATCCTCTGCGACGCGGCGTGGGGATTACGAGAAATGCGAGGAGATTATTTGGAGGATTAAGAAGTTGGGGGAAGAATGCGAGAAAAATAGAAATTGTATCATCGAAAACGGCGTCGCTTTGGTTTTGTGTGATTGTTTCGAGAAGTTCTCGGCTGATGAGAAATTAACTTCCAAATTGGGAAAGATTCTGTCTCTGCTAACGTGGATGGTTCCTATTGGGTGGGAGGGTTTAACGACACTGGCATCTGCGTCGTCGTTTCGTTGCATCGCGGGTTTCTTGAGGAGCAAGGACGATACAGTCCGAGAAAACGCTGCGTTTTTGTTAAAGGAGATTCTCTCGTTGGAAGAAACGCAAGTTCACGCGTTTGCGGAGGAGAACGGAGCCGCGGCAGCGTTTCTTGAACTGATTCGCGATTCGGTTTCGTCTAACGCAACGAAATCTTCGTTGACAGCGATTTGTCAAATGGTTTTGCACAAGCCCCAAATCGCGTCTGCGTTTCTTGAAATCGGTCTCGTGAATCAGACGGTGGATATGATCATTGATGGTGAGAACAGCGTTTGCGAGAAAGCATTAGCGGTTCTAGACGCGGTTGGCGAAACCAGTGAAGGGATAGAGGAAGTGAGAAAAAACGCGTTGGTGATGCCACTTCTGGTGAAGAAGATTCTTAAGGTCTCTGAACAAGCGACGAGGAGCTCAGTCTCTGTGATTTTGAAGTTGTGTAGAACAGGGAACGCGTCTGCGGTTGAAGAAGCGTTACGTTTGGGGGCGTTTCAGAAGGTGTTCTTGGTGTTACAGGTTGGGTATGGAGAAGAGACGAAGGAGAAAGCGACAGAGTTGTTGAAGATGATGAACACACAGATGAAAATGATGAGTGATGATGTTGATTCTTCAGTGGACTTTAAGTATCTCAAGAAGCCATTTTGAAGTAGATAAATTGTATAAAGGGAACCACATTCTTTGCAAATCATAGATTTGATCATATGAAATGAAGAAGATGACCAATGTGAATTTATATAAAATCCAAATGATGTTTTTAAATAAAAAAAATAAAAAAATCACAAATAAATGAGAAGAGACTTGGACAGCAAGAATCAAAATAAATATGTAGATCCAAATGTTAAAATAAAAAGATACAGTTCTTTCATAAACGACAAACTAGTATTCAACTTATAATACAACCATTGTATCTATATCTTCTCAAGGCATAATAAACCGAGATCAAATGTGTTACTGGTTTATTGTACAACCTCAAGCTTACAGGAGAAACTTAGCCACTAAATTGTAGTTCCTTTTCACCTGATGATTCAAACCACCAATCGCGTCTGGGACAGATGAGTAGACTCCTACTTCTTCGGATATTTTATGTAGCATGATCTGAAGAGTAGCTACTATGAAGACAGGAAATAAGAAATAAGAACCACATACGTACCAAAGTACAGCTGAAAATGTAAGAAGTAGACCTTAGGAATCTCAAGACTCTTGGGACCAATTTCCTTACCAGAAGCTTGTGAATGTAAACACACAAATCAACGATTTTGACCCAAAAACTAAGATACCCAAAGGAAAATAGTTTGGTCGTGAAAGACAAGATACACACATTTAACAACAAAAGCTCCTTTTTCTTCTTAAAAGCTACACAGTACCAAATACGGTAACTTGACAATCAATACGTGGAACTTTTTCCATTTTTCACCTTTCCGAACTAATGCTCAAAGTTTTCTCATGCTTCCCGCGACGTTCTTTGACATCCTTATTATGTTTCTCTATCTTCACATTCTCTTTGTTAGACTATCAATCCGATCCTTTTTGAGCACTGCCCATTTGAAGCGACTTCAGCTTCACACCGAACCCCAGTTTCTTAGAAACGTTTTCCCACGTTTTCCTGCCGCTTACAGAACCACTACCATCCTTTGCTGTCTTATCGATTTTCTCAATCTCCAGTCTCATATTTGAACATTCTTTCTCTAACTCGCAAACCCGCATCCTCATTCTGTCCATTCCAACTCTCAGGTCTTGATTCTCTCTTACTGCGGTTTCCCATCCTCCTTTGGTTGATTCTCCTGAAACAGGGAAGCATCCAGCTAGGGAGGCCTTGAGCTGAATTTGCTCAATGAAGAGCACTTGGACTATTATTCTTAGAGGTAATCTCTCGTTCTGTGCTGCGTGTGTGCAAGCTTCAGAAGACAGCTTTTGGCAATCAAACAACCTACAAAGATCCTCTCTTTCTGTTTCCACTAACCACGGATGATGCTACAAATAATCATCAAAAGGCGAAAAAAACTTAATATATACCTCTGTTAAAAAAAATCTCTGTTTCATAAAGAATGTTATTCTAATTTTTTATTTTGTTTCACAAAATGTCATTCTATATTTTCAATTCAAATATTTACATTAAATTTATTTCTTACGTTTTAGAAAAAAATAATAAGTGTATAGTTAAATTATTTTCATTTACATATATAAGAGTAAATTAGTATATTTTATTGTTTTCTTAGTCCATGTAAAATATATTTAAGTGATACTTTTTGTGAAGGGAGTATTGTTTAGTCGTACCTTTAGGTAAATGTCTATTGCACGATAGAGTCCATCATCTAAAAGTCTGGCGTATTCAGGAACAGAAGCAGCTAAATCTTGGAACTTTTGAAGCTTGAGATTGACATCAGGAGCCACTTCAGCAAGATACCCATCGACCAGCTTCGCAACAGCTGTCATTGACTGTGTGGATCCGTTTAAATTCCCGGCTTCTACTGAAGAAGACGAGGAGGGCATAGTCTGATCCTTACTAAGAAACTGGTCCAGGATCCTTTGCACAGAGTCAACGTCATATAGAGTCTCCATAGTCTGAGAAAAGCTAGGCATTACAAGATCTTCCAACGCCGCCTGGTCAAGCTGCATCCCTATCCGCTTCTCCAACTTCTCTATGCAGTTCGGACTAGCTTTCAGTATCTTGGCGATTATAAGCATGTCTACGTAAAACTTGGTCGGAAATAAACCTTTTTGCATACATGGAAGATCAAGCTCCTGGATCTCTTCAAGCAAGTGTTTCTGCTCTTCTTCAGACAGTACATGATCACTCCCCGAGGTCAAAGGTTTGCTGGAACTACCACTGTGTCTCCGTTTTAAGACAGGCAAGTATTTTCTTGTGTAATAGGTTAGGGAACCTGCGAGGATGTCTTCTCTTATTCCTCGGGAATCCATGAGTGTGATAAGTCTCTTAAAAAGAGCAAAACTAAGCGTGGACGCATCCTCGTACCACCAATCTAAACTAGTGTGTTTAGGTTTAGCCCCTGTGCTTATTCCGTTCCATAAAACGCTGCCACGTGGACTCTGCATGGGCGGCCCACCATGCTCCACAGACAAGTTTGGATCTGCCAATGCTCTCATGGATAGTGATTCAATGCATTTCTTGGTAATGTTGTATTCATCAGCGTACTTGAGGACCTCATCGCAGCATTGAAGCGCTTTAATAGAATATTTCCAGCTTTTGAAGATGACTTGATTGAAAAACTTTCCGGTTTGAGAAATTAGATTTCCTTCGCCATACTCCTCTGTCATTTCGAGATGCTTAGCAGCGCATCTGAGGTATACAACGTTGGAGGCAGTGAGTTCTAGCTTCACGCCGTAGCAGAACTTGACGACTAGCTCGAACGTTTTGTCTCCACCAGGAAAATCGGAAATCTGAATGTGACATTTATCATCATCCCCTTCTTTAGCTGCCTCTGCAATCCTTCTTTCCAAGACTCCACTTCTAGAGAGCAAGGGGAACTACATAATAAAAAAAAGCTATAAGAAAGATTAGTGATTTACTCAAATATTAGATGTAGGTCTAAGGAAGATTAGTGATTTACTCATTAACTTTATAGCTAAATTTAGATATGTCAATTAGGGTTGAAGCCGACAGCCCGTCCAACCGTATATATTAGTGAGTTTGGGCCTAATTATATAAACCCAAAAAAAATTGGGTCTCGGGTCTCTCTATCTTAGTCCATTTAGGCTTTAATCTTTTTGGACATAAACTTGTTTGAACTACGACCGGTCCAAAAACCCATAACTTATATTTTAATTTATTTAATTATTTAGCCTTGGCCAATATTTATTAAATATACAATTAACGATATGTTTTAAACAAATGTAGAATTTGAAGAATTGCTGTAGCGTCAAAGTTTAGTTTTAGCATTGGTGTCCGTGTTTTAACACATTTAAAATTTTTCTCCTACCAAAATATATTGAAACATTGATTTGTCCACATATTTAGTTGGAAGGATTTACGTTCCACGATTCAGGAATATACTGATATTTATTATTTTTCTGGTAAAAAAATATCAGTATATTTCTGAACCGTGGAACGTACTACTGATTTAATTAAGTTTCATTTTCAATTAATATATGTCAATATTTAATATTTGTATATTTTATATGTACGACAATGAGAATGTGGAAGTCGACAATGAGAATGTGGAAGTCAGTGGTGAACATTATAATCTTGATATTACACTTTTTGATTGATATGAGTTGAAAGATTTTATTTTATTTCTATTTAATATTAGTATTTATTTGGTTTATTAGGTAAGATTTTTTTTTTAATTTAGATTTTATAAACATATAGATGATTCTAATTTAGGGTTGAATTAATTTTAAGTTTAATTTAATATATTTAATTTAATATATCTTCTTAAAAGTCTGAAAAATCCCAAAAACCTTTTAACCCGTTTAGAGCTGGACCCAGTTTTGAAATATAGGTCCAAATATTTTGCTGACCTATTCGAACTGTACTTAAATATCAATGGTTTTTACGGGTTTTGGTCTGGTTCGTCCAGAGTCCAGACCGCCCAATCGACATTCCTAGCTAGGTTCCAGTTGGCGACCATGTTAACGAAACAATTATGGTAAATTCTTTGTCTTTCAGATTTTATATCAGTTAGATAGAATTCTTGTTCAAACTATTGACAGGTGTGTCCCACTCAGTCTTCCCCTTTAAATTCCTCAAAAGAATGAATTAATAATTTTTTTTTCTTCTTCAATTCTGATGAGGAACAAAATGAACAAAAAATTCTTTTCCTCATTTTTTTTTCAATTCCTCAAATGAAACTCTATTAATTATTTTGTTTATTTTTTTTCCATTCATCTAGCAGTCACCAAAAAAAATGAAAAACATCTTTTTGAAAACCTGTATAGAGCAAGATTAGAAGATGTGGTGCCTTAGAAAAATTATGTATGTGAAAAGATTCTAAAACACTTGAAAATCAAACCCTAAAAGCCATAATCATTCCAGATAAAGGTAATCACTGTATTCAACAAGAGAGAGTTGTTTTGGTCGACTCAAATTTACCTTGTGGAGATGGAAAGACATCTCTCCAACTTCAACGATGATATCACTTGGAAGTCCAGTTGTGCAAAACCTTCAATATTGAGAAAAAAAAAACGAAGAGTGCAGAAAGTAGACATCAGTCCAAGTCTGAGCCATTAGAAGGAGAAATCAAGAAGACGCAAAAACTCAGGAACAAGATACACTATAAAATCAGAGAGATCAAGTGAATATACCAATCCTGGCCTCGTCTTTGAAATATATCTGGTTTTGATCCCAGCTTCATGCATTCCATACTTACTGTCAACATAATTCAACAAAGAAACTCCTTAGCTAAGCCTCCAAATCCATTAAAAAATCGCTCCACAAAAATTCAAAACCCTATAACGTATAACAACCAAACATGGACTTCTAATTCTAGTAGAAATAAAGAGATTTTGGATCCATCCCTTGATACCCAGGTCAATAATTACTGAGGGTTTGGATAATAGGTACTAGATGTTTTTCTGCACAATTTCTAAAATTAAATTATATTTAAAATATTTTTTTAATATTTTAGATTTTATTATTTTACACCGATTTTTTAATATAATATTGATTTAGTTAGACATAAAATTAAGATAAAATAAATAATTCGATTTATTTTAAATTATAAGTAAGAATAGTTAAATATATTTAAAAGTATAATCTTACATAGAATTTATTTTATTTATTTTTGATAAGATATTTTAAATCAACTTTTATAAATTTATTTTTGAAAATTGATGTAAAATTTTATAATTATGAAAAATAAAATAAATAGATTTTGTAAAAATTGTAGGTATCAAAAGGAACAAATGATTATGATTTATAATTTTTCAAAAGATTATAACAAATCTTGAAAATCTTGTTAAGTAATAAAAATTATATGATTTTAAAATAAATTAAATAAGATTTCAAAATTTGTATAGTATTAATAATTATAGTATTATATTTAAATATATTTATTTTACTGATGATACATGAGTTATTACCATATTCAATAAAATTTACCAAAATAGAAACCAACATTAATTGTAATTGACATGTCATATTTAGTCATAAGTTATGTCATCAATTATATTATGTCATATCATATTTTTGCTTACTGAATTGATTATAGAGATGAATACCAAAAATTTTAATACCCAAATTTTCTGGTACCCAGTAAAATACCTCAATTAATTATTTTACTCATTTTAATACATAAAATTTTAAACTATGCCTATTTTACAATCCAAAATCTGTTTATGTTAATAAAAATAAGTCTCAAATGAAATTTAAAAAATCTTTAAAATTTACAAACAAAAATCTTAGAAATTCTAACTTTATTTACTCTTTGAGAAATAAAAGTAACTGAATTGTGCATAATCGTAAATTTTGTAATAAAAGTTTTAAGTTTTAACTATTAAATTTAGTTTATTTTCTAAAATAAAAAAAAAATTATTTATTTTTATTCTAAATTTAATTTTAAAATCTTTAAACTTTCTCGATAGTTTATTTACCTTCTTTCATAAAATTATAATTTTTGCATATTTTTCTTATATTTTGAAGATTTGTGAAATTTTTGTTTTGAACTTATTAGTATATTATTATTTTTAATTAAAATAAAAAAAGTTTGGATATTAAAAGGGACATAATTATAAAGTTTTGTGGATTAAAGTGAGAAAATAATTATTTGGGGTATTAAACTAGGTAACAAAAAAATTTAAGTATTAAAAAAACTTAAAGAAATTTAGCTAGGGTGTTTTTATGGAAGTATTCCTAATAATTAGCAACTAGTTTAAGAGTGCTTTGCACTGGCATTCTATACAAAATTTATTTTTATTTATAAACATTTTGTGGTAAAAATCTAAACAATCGCTTATATATATTATGTATGGATATAACTAAAGTTAAATGATATTAACATAGATATATATAAATTGTTATCAATTTTATTATTAAAATCATTAATATTCATATATATACCCCAATCATATTAGGTAATCCCGTAACTTTTATTTAAGAAAATAATGAAAATATCAATTATACATTAGTAGTTAGTTTTATAATAAGTTTAATAAAAATATATTTTGTATTTAATGGAGCAATATATTTTTATTAAAACTTTAAGAAACATTCTAATGATGACGCGTGTCATAGCCAGTGTTGAAAATTACGCTAGGCGCTAGTCGGGCGGCCAGTTCACGCCTAACGAGTTAAGGAAAAATCGAGGATTAATCGGGGAGTACTCGGGGACCTAGTTTTTGTACCTTTATTATTTGCATATCTGTATATATATTAACATAGGCGTATCAAAACAAGTAATGTGATGTCTCCTAGCGGTTCGGTTCCTTATACTTAGAGCTACACAATCTAACTTCGAAGCCCATGTAGTACACAATTTATTTTTCCCATTATTAATCCATAATTGATAGAGTCCCACAGGTTGGAGAAAAAAAGAAGAGGTGAAATCCTTCACTATATATAGCCCTACATACATGTTAGATAAGTGGTAAAGCATTCGGGCTGTATTAGCTTCATTAGAGCCCAAGAACTATTATCAGAGTTTAAAAGTTGATTTTTTAATCAGTCGGTAGTTTGGACTGATTAATCGGAAATTGAGCCGATTAATTAGCTTTATTGGCCAACTAATGAGGTTCCGATTTTATTACCCGATTAGGGTAAAATCAAAACGGAAGGGCCCCCAACTGCGATTTTTCGGACTCCCGAGTTTTAGAACACGGTTCAGAGCTAAGTTGTTGTTATGCTTTTCTTTTAATATATAAACGATCCAAAATGATTCATATGCAACTAGAAAACCACCAAAACAAAACATTCTTCAAACATTGATAGTATTACTATCTTTACCGAAGCGACATCAAACTATGTCTCAATCTCAGAAATCTCAAACTTGTATCTTCTTACAGCCAATATGAAACATATTCTTTCATTGCACTGCTATGAAACCAAACAGAACACACTCTTAACTCTCGTGGATAGGAAGACTGTCGATATAACAAACATAGTATATCATGTTGTCTAATAACATTCCTCATGAACCATGACACCTCTAATGCCCTTAGCTTCTAAATCACCATAATCTTCTTCAATACTTGAAGATCTGATTCAAATACAAGATACCTTCTGAGAAAGCACTGCTCCACCTGTGACAAGAACACTAAGTTCTCACAGATTCATTCCAGCACAAAAATTAATCTGCAAAAACCATGAATCTTTGATGCTGACATATTGTCAAGAGCCTACACTTCTGAAACAAGACCCATTCTATTTTCAGTCAATACTCAAGTTCACAAGAGAACACATTTCCTTGCATTCCCTCTGAAATTAGAACTCGCAAGCCATTAGAGAAAATATCTCACAAATTCTCTTGGTTTTTCAACCAAATCAACTTTAAATTTTCCTTTCTCCAACACTGTGTTTTCTTCCAAGACTTGCCAGAATACACTCCTAACATTGCATATCTCCCAACGTTATCCGCTTCTTTTCTCTTGAAGTCGTGATGTTGACGAACCTGAGAATCTTCACAGGTTTCTCATTTCTCTGGGTTTGCGATGTCACCGTTCTCTATGAAACACAAAAACTGAACTCCCTCAAACAACACCAAATGTAAAATGGATACTGAAACCGTATTTTTCTGCTTCAGCCTGTTGCTTTGTGTTGTGATTCAAACTCAATAATGACTTATAAAGTTTGAATCTTTATCACTCTCTCTCTCGTGTT